ATTCCCAAATGCCTGGGATCTGTGGTATTGTTCCCACTGGATCAGAATAAAACTAACCTGATTGCCTGCTCCACGGACAGCAACTTTGCTAGTGGTTGAGTCACAGTCATCTGAAAATGCAGCTGCATGTCCAGGTTTCAATGGAGTGTTGTAAAGCTCAAGAATATCATCTGGAAAATGGAAGTAGGCAGAGAAAAATCAAAAGCAATCCTGACTAAGTGCCAAGTTACGCTTTGTTCAGGCCACTGCTACAGCAGATGAAACCATTCAGTTTAACCCAACTCATTCATATTTACAAAGTTTGGACATCTTTCCTCGAAGTGTTTTGGGCTCTGAGAGATGGGATACTGCCCTCAGCATAAGGCCAGTGGCAGCTAACAAAGGTGCCATACCTTGCACTATTACATCATCATCCACATAGATGACCTTCTCTGCGTGAGGTACCAAGCTGGGCAAGTAGAATCTTGCAAAGGTTAACTGTGAGAACAAGAAAGCGAGAGAAGTGAAGAATTAAATGAAAATTTGTCCAAATAAATGTGAAATGGATTGATTCTCCTGCACTTATCTATGGCACTAATGTCCAAGACAACTTCTATAAAGGAAATAAAATAGGCAGCAATATCCTACAAGTCATTTAAAATAAACAAGTTCCATCAATTCCTGGTTTCCTATGAATTTACGTATTGATAAACTAACTTTAAAATTTGTCTGTATTAGGATTTCTTATTTCTCCACATGTATCTGTAGTATCTCCAAAGTGTTGGTACTGTGTTTCACTGTAGCTAGCAGCAAAAAATGATACTAAGCATGTATATGTAGACATTCAAATGCATCTCTCACTAGCTGGAAATTTATTTTTACTGAGATTTAGGAATTTTATTATAAAAGACTCCTGTGCTAACAGATGTGGTTTTGATATCTAGTTGTGTTAAAAGCCAACATCAAAATATATTGCTATTAACTAATAATTGCAAAAAGTAATCAACAGCATCCTCACTGGTTTGAAGGTGTCTGCTTTTTGGGGATCCACTTGTACTTTCCCTTCTAAGACACGAGGGTCAAAATCCAAAATTCGGTATCTCATGTTTTTCAGAGCAGTGCCACTTAGCCACAGCCTGCAAACAGGGGAAAGGCACAGATCTTGTTAATGAGACAAAAATCAAATGAAAAGCAAGAGATCTGACTGACAGCGGCCCAGATCTTGATGTGCCCACTCACTTCCCTACCCACAAACACATATCTGGGATGTCATCTATGGCTGAGGCCAGTGGTGTCCTGTGTGGCTGCAGGGACATGCCCAGTGCCAGCACACTGCTCACCTGGGACACGTGAAAGGTATGAGCTTGCCTCTTGTTTTATTAGAAATACACAGTCCTGTTATCACAGGTCCTTCACAAAAAACATCAGCGTGGACAGAGGTGGGTAAAAATAAAAGGATCAAAGAACAATCTATGAAAATGGAGAAACCTGACTGACAGTATTTGAATTGCTTGATGAAATGTATAAGTAACATCAACAACCCTTCCACCAACAAACACCAACCCCACTGGTTGGATATAACCCTGTTGGAAAAGATGGCTCTTTTCCATCCCTGAAACTTCTCCAGAAGGAATAGCTGTAGGACTCCCCACAGCAGCCTTGCCAAAAAGCTGCAATAAGCAGCAGCAGGCAGGACTGCAAGTCAGAGGAGAGCAGCTCCGGGGAAAGGCAGCTCTCTTCTCAGAGATACTGAAGTTTACAGTGTTGTGGGAATCCAGTGAAAAGATCATTACCTCAAGTGATCCACTGTATCATTCAGAGTAACAATATGGAAAACCACGTTGGATCTGGTGTGATGGTAAATGCTGTTCATGGCTGCAATTGCACCCCCAAGCCTCTCATCTGACGCTGCAATAACCACAGAAATCTCCTTATCATTCCTCTCATCTATCAGCCTCTGGGGAGCTGCAGGAATGAAATCTATAGGCTGAAGTCCTAAGGGACTTGAATCTGTGGAGTACAAATGGCATCACATACTTGTTTTTATTATTACACATTATTATAACCGCACTAGAATTCCCAACACCTTCAGTTATTTCTGCTATGCAAGCACTTGGATGTCTCAGCAGGACCACAGCCTGCCAGCATCAAACACTGAAAACAGAGCACCTGCTTTTGAGAATCTGAGATGTTAATGAATAGAAGAACATCACAACTACAAAAAACTACCCACATTTAGCCACACATATTCACACACAGCACAAGGAACTAAAATAAGGCTGAGCTACAGTGGGTCCCCTCCCACTTACCCAAACCACTCTCTGGTCAGAGCATGTGCTTTCCCACCAATCTTAAAAAGAACAACATTTTTTTCAAAATTAAAATAAAACCCAACATACCTGATAACTCCCGTTTCAAGAAGTCACTGAGGCTTAGGAAGTTATGATGAAGAACTAGCAAAAATATTACAACAGCCACAATAAGGATGGAAATGTTCACTGAAAATTTCGAAGAAAAAAGTTCATCAGCATAAGCAGAGAAAAAGAAATTCAGATACTTTAAAAAAAATTAGATACACACACATATACACATACCTTTCCTTAATGTCATTTTTCTATTGTTTTATTCATGAGCATAAGGTTCCTGAAAACCTGCAAGAAAAAAATACAGCAGTCACTTCCTACTTCCAGTGTATGACTACACGAGACACAGGCACCATCACCAGGAGTGTCAGAACAGTTTCTGAATGCAGTGACCATGTCCTTCTCTAAAAAAAGATAAAGCTATGCCACATTTTAATAACTGAGTGTGGTACCTCAGTACATACATAGCTACAATCCTAGAATGGCTTGCATTGAAAGGGACATTAAAGCTCGTCTCATTCCAACCCCCTGCCATGGGCAGGGACACCTTCCACTAGACCACATTCCTCCAAGCCCTGCCTAACCTGAACCTGGAACACTTCCAAGGATGGGGCAGCCACAGCTTCTCTGGGCAACCTGTGCCAGGGCCTCACCACCCACACAGCCAAGAATTCCTTCCCAATATCCCCTCTAACCCTGCTCTCTGTCAGTTTAAAGCCATTCTCCTTTGTCCTGTCACTCCACACCCCTGTCCAAAGTCCCTCTCCAGCTCTCCTGGAGCCCCTTTAGGCACTGGAAGGGGGTCTCAGGTCTCCCCAGAGCCTTCTCTTCTCCAGGTGAACAACCCCCACTCTCCCAGCCCTCAGAGCATCTTTATGGCCCTACTCTGGATCTGCTCCAACAGGTCCAAATCCTTCTTATGTTGGGGACTCCCCCCACATACAATGACTTATCTAAAGAAGAACTTGGAGGTAAAAAGGAGACATACAGATATTGCCACTTCCTTCACTGACAGAAAAAAACCCGCCAAACTCCTTCCACCACTCAGAATGATCTGAAAAGATCTGGAAAATTAGTGGGGTTTCTTTACTGTTGAAACAATTTATTTAACTATCTGAACTGGAAGGATTTAAACAATAAGATAAATCATTATACGTTTCCTTCCGTGCTTAACCAACTGCAAGATTCTGGCAGGACGCTGGTTTATAAGATTTTAACAAACAGCACTTTCCAAACCATGAGAGTCTCTACATAGAATATAACAGAATATCAGCTAGAGCGTTGTCACACAAAAAAAAAAAAAAAAAACACAAAAGCAGGCAAGAAGGTATTACCATTATGTTATAGAAGGGGGTAAAAACACAACACTGATACAATTTTGGTAAGAAATTCAAACTTGTTCATTATTCAAGGGAAAAGGAGACTACGAAATCAGAACAAGAGCTGCGTATCCCGGAGCGTGAAAGAGCTCTCAAATAACACATAGAAAGCACTGCAACAACATGCAAAATTCCAGAAACGGTGACAGACTTGTGAAATCTCCCTATTAAAACACCCCAGGCTGCGCTGTGACCATTCCATGTGTCAGACCCAACCACCTTCTCTCGCTGCTGCATTTCTCCCCCAGAGTAGATGCATTTGCGGAGCACAACGAAGCCCAGCCGGGAGCCCTGTCCTCCAGCACCCCCGCACCGCTGGCACGGGGCGGGACACAGGGCTTTGCTTACAGAGCACAACGCCACGTCTCGCTGGGGAACGAAGCACTTTGCGGACACAGCCCGTGCCTTTGAGCGGCGGCTGAGGGAACCGGGGGTGTTCAGCCTGGAGAGGAGGCGGCTCAGGGGAGACCTCATCACTCTCTACAACTCCCTGACAGGAGGGTGTAACCAGATGGGGGTCGGGCTCTTCTCCAGGTAACCAGCGATAGGACAAGAAGGCACAGTCTTAAGCTGCACCAGGGGAGGTTTAGGTTGGACATTAGGAAGAAGTTCTTCACAGAGAGAGTGATCAGACATTGGAATCAGCTGTCCAGGGAGGTCGTACAGTCACCGTCTCTGGAGGTGTTTAAGGAGAGACTGGACATGGCACTCAGCGCCGTGGTTTAGTAGACGAGGCGGTGTCAGGTCAAAGGTTGGACTCGACGATCTCAGAGGAAACCCCGGTTGAATCTGTGAATGTGACACGCGGCAGCCGGGGCTGGAGGCACCGACAGAGCGACTCCCCGCAGGGCACGGTCCGAGCCCGCACAGCCCGCAGTGAAACACGCACCGCGCGGGGCCCGCGCTGCCCGCACCCGCTCCCCGGGCCCCTGGGCGGGCACAGCCGCGGCTCCCTCGCCCCCTCACGGGCCGCCCGCCCGCGCCGCCACCGCGGCACCCCCAGAGCCGTGGTTGTGCCCGCCCGGCCGCCGCCAGCCGCGCCCCCCGCGCTGCCGCACCTGCCGGGGAAGGCGCCTCCGCCGCGGGCCTGCGGGGCCGAGCCGCCGGTGCCGAGGAGACGCGGCCGGGCGAGGGCGGGGAAGGGACTGGGACGGGGAGCGCGCGCGGAGCAGCCCCGCGGCGGCGGCGATGGCCGAGGCGGGAGGCGGCACCGGGGCCGGCGGGGCTCGGGGCGGGGCGGCCGGGGCGTGTTTCCGGCCAGCTCAGCAGCCGCCTTCCGCTGCCGCCGCGCCGAGCGCCGCCGCCGAGCCCCCGGTCCCCACCTCGCCGGGCATCGCGGGCAGCAGCGCCCTGACGAGCAGCAGCGGGAGGAGGCCGCAGAGGCGCCGCCGCCATGCTGAGCGTGTTCCGCTCCATCCCCACGCAGATGGTGGGTAGGGCCCGCCGGGCCGCGGCACCGGGGGACTGCGGGGAGGGATGTCCCCTGTGGGGTTGGGTGTCCCCTGCATCCCCCGCGGGATTGGTACCTGCGTGCGAGGCACGTAAGAGCTGCAGGGTGAATCCGTATAATTCCGGTTTATGAGCTGGGAAGCGGAAATTTAACGTGCTCTAATGCAGAGCTGTGCAGGGGACATCCCTCCGTGCTTTCCCGCCTGGGCTATAGACAGAAGGCAACGCGTGCTCGCTGAGAGCCAGGTTTTCTAAAGTCATGCAAACTCTGGAGATCACCCAGTCCAACCCCCCTGCCCAGGCAGAGGCACCTGGAGCAGGTGACACAGGAACAAGGCCAGATGGGTTTGGAATGTCTCCAGAGAGGGACACTCCACACCCTCCCCATGCAGCCGGTTCCAGGGCTCTGCCACCCTCACTGGTACTTCCTCGTGTTGAGGTGGAACTTGTGTTTTAGTTTATGGCTGTTGCTCCTCATGCTGTCTGTGGGCACCACTGAAAGGAGTCTGGCACCATCCTCTTGGCACCCGCCCTGGAGACATTTACATGCATTAATGAGATCCCCTCTAAGTGCCACACACACTGTATCCCCCCGGGCACACACTCTGCCGTGGTGCTACAGCTTTTTCTTAGTGATGTTAAGCTGACTACAGTGATATTTTGAACTGGCATTACCTACCTTGAACAGGCAGCACTTGCTTCTGTTTCCAGGTGGTGTGGTCGAGCCTGAAGGGTAGGTGGTCCCAGACACTGTAAGAAAAGTAATTCCAGGCTGGTTTGAAAATTGAACAAAAGAGCTGAGAACCTGTGGCCAGGCTGAGTGTGGGCTCTAACCTGAAGGAGTTTAACGGGCAGGTTTATGTTTTGAATAACTGACCAAAAAGTGTCTCTTTTCACAGGACTACAAGGGCCAAAAATTAGCAGAACAGATTTTTCAAGGAATCATTCTTGTCTCTGCAGTAAGTATACTAGAACTGTGGGTGAGAACATAAAAGGAGTATTTTGTTTTCTGATTTTACAAACATTTTTTTCTGATTGTTTGGGGTCATTAAAAGCTTTAGACAAAATCAGAGGGGCTGTCATGTGTAAAAACTTTACATCTCCCCATGTTTTACTTTCATTATTGGCCAGCAATTTTGAAAAGAACGTTAGAAAGGTGGAGGAACTGTGCTTTTGAAAAACTTGTATTCTCCTGCTTCCCCTCCCAGTTTAATCATGGCATAGGAAATGTTTTTCTTCATTTAGAGTTTGATTTTTTTAATATACTTTTTTCCCAGGTAATTGGTTTTATCTATGGATACGTCACTGAACAGTTTGGATGGACTGTCTACATAGTTATGGCTGGATTTGCTTTATCATGTTTGGTAAGAATTTTTTGTCTGCAAACTAGAAAATACATGCACTATTTAACCTGGAATAATAGCTAAATTAAGAGGCTGTCAGCACAGACTAATGTTTGCTATGTAATTCAGATTGTTAATACATATTTGTACTTCCTTTGATCTGCACAAAGTGCTTTGCAGGCCAGTAAGTGCCTTTTCTGAAATGCTAGCAGGATTTTAGAGAATGCTGCAATTAAGTATTGGGTTTGAGTACATTTTTCACTTCAGTTAAATGTTACTGTTAAGTCCAGCTGACAGCATTGGTAATAGAAAGGACAGTGAGGCTTCCTGTGCAGTAGGAGCTTGTCACAAGAATTTTGCAGCTGGCCCGTGCTGCCCGAGGAGAGCGGCAAGAAGGCAGAGTATGGAATTAGAGGAGTAATTCCTTATTCATACACACGAGGTGTCCCATTCCAATTGGGGCACACTGAATCCAGTCTTACACGTGGTTCTTATGCTTTTCAAGAGTTCAGATACAACAGGATTTGACCAATCACTACTTAACTCTCACACACACACACACACACAACTGCTTTGAAAAGCCACTATAATTCTCTGGCATCACCATCCATCTGCTCCTTACTTACTTTAGCATCCCTGAGTTGCTCTGGCCAGAGTTACTGATCCATGATGCCAGGCAAGGGGAGGGTCTCATAGCAGTGTTAGGATGTGCTGGGATGCTGGTGTCACCTCGGGAGTCCCTTTTTCTTCAGGGTGGGTGCTGTCCTCCTCCTTGCAATGACCTGGGGTCATGACCACACAGTATAAACTGTAAATACATGTGCCTTTATAGCATGAAATTGTGTGAGTTTTCTTAGATAGAACAGTTAAGGATTAAGATCTTCCTAACAAGCTGTACAAAACAGCTCTTTAGCATCTCAGTGTACATGTTCTGACTCCATCCCTTGTCTCCCAGCTGACGCTCCCTCCGTGGCCCATGTACCGCCGCAACCCCCTCAAGTGGCTGCCTGTGCAGGAGTCGGGCACGGAAGACAAGAAGGCAGCAGACAGAAAGCCAAAGAGACACACTAAAAGCTAAAAATTACGGTTCTTCACACTGTTACTTTGTTAAATTTTGTTAAATGAATTTCCACTGGGAGATACTTCTTGGCTTAGTTGTTTGGTTTTTTAATTAGTGCTTTGTATCCTGCCATCCACCAAGCCCCGCAGAGAGCGTGAAGGCTCTGAAGCTGGTCTGGAGCTTCAGTGAAGTCACTGGGAACACAAGGATGGGCAAAGGGTAAAGCAAATACCTGATGAAATTCTTCTGTGCTGTATTCATCTCTCAGCCCCCTGTAAAAGATTGCTCACACAGGCAGTTAATGTATCAAACTGGCCTCTCTGATAGTTTAGACAAATTTGTTCCATGTCCTCCCTGTAGCGTTCAGTTACTGGATGTTTCCCCCACACACATTAGCTGGTACCCCTTCTTTGGCAGAATACATCATGATTATGATTCTGTGTGTCTAAACACTGTACAGTAATTTATGTAACTTACTTTTTTTCTAGTTAATATTTCGGTTTCCAGCACAAGTTGTACTGGCTTTTGCAATATCTTCTTAGCAGCAGAAACTTAAATAACTTTAGAAGGCTACTGGAGGTCACATCTCACTCAGGTATTTTAGTAAAAAGGAACACAGTGAATCAAATCAAGTCCAGTTAAGCTACTGTTATAGCATAAAAGATAATACAGACCTGGACTTATACTGAAATATTTCTAACCATGTGTAAAAGAAGCTTGTAACAACTACTGTGAAACAGTATATACCCCACAGCTCTGAAAATCACTAAGAACTGCAAACTGTTCTGGGATAGGAGACTGAAGAGTGGCATTTTTTGTTTAAAATAAATTTCCCTGGGAAGAGAAAGTAACATTTTGACTCTGCAAAATACAATAGGTCTTGAAACATTGTAACTTGAGCATCTAGTACATGAGAGGCCACAGGATCCATAGGTATGGCACTTTTCTTTTACTGCTGACTCATGTCAGTAACCCCTCTCACAGGTGCTGGAGGTCACAATATTTCAGCTACAGGCAGGAAGAGAGACAGGTTGTTCATTTAGAATTTTATTTTACAAATTCAATTTATTTGACTTCTTTATCCTTTAAAAAGAACATGTGCTTTTTCTGTAGGGATGGTACACAACAATGCCTGGGGGTGTGTAAGCAAGACAGTCGGGATGCAAAGAAAGGGAAAAGCTAAGACATCTATTTCTGTATGTGATTCTGGTCTTGGGCACTTTCATTCCTAAAAGGAATTACTATTTGTAAGGCAAAGGGATTTCTCCAGCTGGGACCATGGTAACCATGGCTGCATTCCTTTCAAACCATTTCCAGACTTACTTTATCCAGTTACCAAATGCTTTCCCCCACCTTGGCGACTGCCTCAGCAACAAAACACAAAAGCAAAGTCTCTCCTTACAAGCAGTACAGCCACCCCCTTCAGCACTTGGGCTTGGCAATTTCCAGCATTTTGGTTCTACAAAAATTAGTAATTATTTCTCTTGCTAAGTTTTCACAACTATCTGATGCAGTATCACACCAGAGCCTTGGCAGAGATTTTGTTACTCTATTTATGTGACCATACCAAAAACCTTTTGCTAGGAGAAATTCAAAACCAAAACATAATTTTTTTTGACCCTCCTTAGTATACAAAACTTGGTACCCATCCCTATGTGCATCTATGAAAAGCAACTTTTTAAAGTTTCATTAAGAGAATAAAAACTAAACTAACAGTTTCTTTTCTGAGAAAGTGATAGCCTGGTTCACAGTTCAACATGAAAAATATTACTACAAACTCTAATGTTTTCTACAAGTTCACCTCCTTGTTCCAGCAAAGGAGATCAACAGGTAAACGTGCTTTGTAAGCTGGTCCAGTCTGTCATATGGGCTATAAAAGAGTCCTTTTCTCTAAGGAAAAGATTCTGGTCAGAGCTTCACATTTTCTTCAAGGAATTTCAGGTGACGAGCCTTCGCGCTGTAACTCACGTACTTGTCTCCCATGTGCTCCCGCAGCTGCAGCTGTTCAGAATACACAAAACAAAGCCCACAAAACTTACTGGCATGCACAAAAAGCAGGAACTACCAAAATATTAAATATTAACTACCAAATATTAACCAAAAAAAAATACCAAGGCACTCAACTGAAAGCAGCACGTGAAGCTTGGCGAGTAGATGAGAGGAAAGGAAGATGAAAGTCTTTGTTGTCTGAAGGCAAGAGAGTTCCAAATCCCACCCAAACAATTTAAAATATAAATCAGATCTTCACAGGTTACAAATGAAATACTGCATGGGTAAGATAGAAAATTACAATGCCTGCCCATGACTACATAAAGACTTTCTGGAATCAAGGTTTACCCTGTGTCAGTAGGGTAAAGACACTGCTCATTTCTCTAGGTTTATGAAGAAATTAAACTATTTTACTATGAAAGACATTCACCTCTCTTTTTGCTTCATCGTCGTCTTCCATGATTCTGTACACCTCCTCAAGAAGTTTCACTCCCAATCCTTGCACCACATCAGACCTCAGGATTTCAACCATTCTCCTAATCTTGTCAGGAACTGTTAACATATCTATTAAAAATAAAATACAATTAAAAATCAATGCAGTAATAACTACTTTCAGTATAGACAATTTTCATACTCTGCAGAAGAATATGGGATAATAGTAATTATTACCACGGAATTCCAGAGCAACAGACCTGAAGGAATCTCTTCAATGTTTAATTCTTCTGATTCATCAGGCAATTTTCCATGCAAAATCAAAGTGTCTCGATATTTTTTATGGAGTTTAAACTCTGGGGCTGGAGTTGAGGTTCCACAGTACTCAGAGTTCTCCTTAGAGTCCATTTTCAGCGTCCAAGTCATCAGCTGCACCAAGTCATTCATTTCATTCACATTGCTTTTCCTAGGAGATATAATTCAGTCATCACTTATGATGCAACTTCCACCCTACAGTCCAAGCACTTACAAGAAGTTTAGGAAGGTAAGTATTCATGTTAAATTACTTCTTGTGGGGCAGTTTTATCAACAGCAACACCAGCAGTATTCCTTTAACTTCTTACAGGGCTCAGAGCCCTGTCAGCCTGTAAAAATCCACAACCCTACTGGCTGCTGCCAACTCTGTAGCTGCACCTCCAGTAATGCAACAAATTGCAGCTTTTGGAAAGCTGCTTACACTGACAAAAGCAGAAATAAATTCAGCCTTATTCACAGTGGAAAGGAAGCACATTGGCACCTTTTAATTAATGCTTTTAGTGCATCCTGACAGTACTTGTCCCTTGATGCTGGAAGACTGGATTTCTGGGAAGCTACAACTGACAAAAAACAGAGGCACAAAATTACATCCAGAAAGTTCAGCATGGAACAGAAAGACAGTCACAGAAAGACAATAATTAAATGGAATTCTTTTCCTTAATGCACCACATACTTCTTCAATCACTCACTATGTGGAGACAAAAGTATGAAAGCCACTTTTTTCCAGTCCAAGTCAAGGTCTAATATAGCAGTGAAAACTCTTGCACAGTATTAAAATACTTACCTCTCCTTGGAATCACCATCAGACTTGTCTGTAGAGCTTGTGGAAGAGCTCAACTCATCATCAGACAGGGAATGGGTTTCTCTCTTTTTCTACATGAAGAGGAAATAAATGACAAAAATTCTAATAGCTGAAAGTAATTTAGCAATATTTAGCAGCAATTTATACTGTTCTTATGTGGATGAAACACTTTTAACAAGCATATTTTTACACACTCCTACTGATAATATTTAAAAGGTATAACCTTTGGTTTTAAACACAATACCCAGGGCATCATGAACATACTTCATGAAATGCTGATGTGACTACTGTGACATCTCAGTCATAAACCATTGCAAATGCTTCACCAAGTGTCTCAATTAAATCATGTACCTCTGTCAGTTCTTTGCCAATTGTATTAAAAAGACATCACCCTTAGCTCAGCAATTTAAGACACATTTAAAAATACTACTAAAATACATTTTCACCAGTTCAGTAAGTTCCCAGCATTCCCTGGGATTTTAACCACTTGGTTGCAAAAGCATCACCAGCATATGCACACACAAGCAGCCTGTACCCCTGTAACCTCAGTCTGTGATTGCACACAACTCTTTGCATTTAGGTAACAGTTCTAAAGCAAACACACACAGGTAAAACATGCAAAACACTTCCCACGGAAGTGCTGAGCTGAGAAAATTTGAATTTCAGACTCAAATTTCTTCACTGTCCCTCTTCTGCATTTAACTACAGATTAAAAAAAAAATGTTCAACATCACAAACAAAGCAAAATCAGATGTACCAGGTAGTGTGGTGTTAATAGGAATTTAAAGCAGACTATTGATCTGTAACCAAAGCGTAGTTCAGGATAAACTTCTTCCCTTCCAAAGTAAAATACACTCTGCAATTTAGAGAGTCCATAGCAATTAGCAAGAGATGCCTAGTTATCATCTCTGACAAGTGGAGTGAAAATGCACAGGAAGCCTGCAATGTTAAACTGATCTGGTCAAAGTGGATTAGAGATCCATACCCCATCCCAGGCCTTACAAAGCAGTATTTACAGAGAACTCTGCACTCTTATTTACAGAGAGTTTCTTCCACGCAGATTTGTTTTAAATATCACTTTCTTCCCAAATCATGCCTTCATTTAAACACTTGAAAGGCATATGACCCTGCTTTACCTGGGAAATACTGGGATCTGATGAGGACTGAGCAACTTTAACACAATTTTCCACCTGTGATTTTGCTTCAACTACTGCACCATTTGATGACTGTCTCGCCGGAACCACTGAAAAGATGACATTTTTACAACATTTACAACTTATCCACATGTATTTTGAATAAGTTTCATGCTCATGCAAGAAAAAGTCTATCACCTGGCAGAAGGCAGGCAGGTAGGTAGGTAGGTATTCTGCTAAGGGAAAACATTGAAGCTTCTGTCTGAAAGCTGAATATTCTGTGTTTCATGTACATTTCCAAGACAAGTTATCACCACAGAACACAACTGAACATAACTGACTAAGCAGCACAAAAATATGGGCATGTTAACAGAAATTTTTGGCTAATACAGAACTAGACACTTAGGGCATCTCTCTGAAGATGGCAGTGAAGAACAAACAAGTTATAATTTCTTCACGAAGAAGTTATTAGCCCACTTATACATAAAATGTTAATATGTAAACATAAAAGTTACCAGAGGGAAGCATCTCCCGAGACTGTTTCAGCCTCCTTCGCTCTCTTGCTGACAA